TTTTGCCACAAAACCAAAATAGTTTCATTTGCACTACAGGCATAGGAACTAAAAATAATCATATATTAATATAAGTTGAAATTAAACTTCTTAATGTCAGAGTTAACACAACAAGAATATGCTATTCTGGCGAGACATCTCCAAATATAGATGTACTATAGAAAGTTATTAAAGTATATCATCCTTTCAATAGTAGAATTTACATACTACAGAAATTGTCTAAAAGTTTATATAACATGAACAACTATCTTCTAAAACCTGTAACTGTAAATTGTTCATTATTCAGGCATCAATCTAAATATTCTCCACCACAAGGTATAATGCATTTTTTGTTGTTGAATAAATTCCATGTGGAAAATATAAAAGGTTTCTGTATATATTACTATTTAAAAAAAAATTACAATTCTTATTCTTATTAATATAGTTTATTATCGCCAGAATTATTGCAATTAATATTATGATACGGTGACATAGTAATCCAATCAATTGACTTAACCCTACCTTTTGCCTTTCTAAGCACAGTATAAGAAATTTTTGTTTTTAAACAGTTACACTTACTCAAATTACGTCTCTTGCTAGAGTACATTTGATTGTCATTCAACGAAAACTGACAAGGTGGCTAATAGGTATTACTGCTGAATATATAGTACTGATCTGAACATGGCTGGTGTTTACTATTATTGTTGTTTTCATTGCTGAATAATTATTATTCTTAGAGAGAATTGCCAAGTTATCTAAATAGCATAACTGACAACATACCTATGTAAAAAAACAAGATTTGACTGCAAAAGTACAGTTCTTCAGAAACAACAAGGAAATATAAAACTTGGTACACCAAAATGCAGAAATAAACAAAGTTTCCTTCTCTAATGACACACACGAATTAAACTTAATTGCTTTATTCTGCCGTCTTCGCTGAATAAACTCCATTATAACAACTTTGTGCCAACTGTATCGGGAACAGAGAGGAAGGGTGTTACCAGATGTACAATAATACATAATTATCTATAATTGGAATTGTGAAACAGAGGAATGGATTTTGGCAATTACTGATTAGTGATAAACTTTATAGCAATTGTAAATGCTAATTTTTATTAGTTTTGGCATTCCAGCTCGCCTCGTATAATGGATACATGTTCTTTTTTTTTCTTTGACTTAAAAGTTGCAACAGACAGTGTTTGAGCTTCCTATTAAGTTTATTACTTGTGACTGATTTAAAGTTCAATTACAGAATAACCTAGTTAATTCTCTGATGACAGATATATATTTAATGTTTTTTTTAAAAAGCTGATAATTAGTGTAAAATAAAAACATTAATATCCTGTTTATATTTCTAATTATATACATTAGCATTGTATAATTTGAAAGTAATTCTATTTTCATGATTACTGAATCGTTTTTATCTTCTCTTATGACAACTCAATCAAAAGTCATCGTACGTATTTACTTTGACAGGTCTTTCATTCAGCTGAAACGCATTTCCCGCGATAACCAATCAACTCGTCCGATGTTTAAGTATTTACAATTTAACCTTAAATGTCATAAAATATATCGGTTTTACTTGTCTGTCAGATTTTTTTCTTTTTCAATTACTTTTTCCTTCAAGTTTTGAAGAGGGTCTGTCGAGATATATCAATGATAGGGCGAGTGTATGGAATAGTTAACGACTATTACACGCAAAGAAGTTTTCACATTCGCTAAACTTGTGTTTGTTTATTTAATTTTGAATATTAATGATGACATAAATGTATTATATAGTGTATGTACTGCCTTTTCATGTATATTTTATTCATACATGTATGCTGAGATCTAGATGTAAAACTAAAAATTCATTTTATATATTTCTGCATATGAATAAAACCAACATAATGATAATTATTAGCATTCTCAGCCTGGCAATATCCATTCCATGCGAGCGCTCATGACGGATTGATTTCACATGGCCCATATTTAACAATTTAGAATAAAAATGTTTTTAATCCAGAATTAAAGGGTGGACATTTTTTAATGTTAGCTGGTAATCCATAACACAAATTGGTGGCAGAGACAGAAAAAGCATCATTCCTTCATTTTTGCATGTGAAAAGGGACAATACTGTGCATGTCAGCATTATTATTATTATTATTATTATTGTCACTACCTATACATATACTGAACTTTTATTCTTCTATACATTCAGGCAAATACAACTATCATCAGTACAACTTTTACATCAATCAACAAAGACGTCTTCCACTGTAAAGTCCACTGACCTACAATTGTCGTCAATATTTTGATGCTAACGTGACACTGGTTCGCAGACAGAAAGAAAGATATCATTTCTGGCTCCGTACTGCCCTTTGGCCAGACATCCTTTGAGACTGATTTATACTTAAGAGATATTCGGTATTAATTGTAACAAAAACAGATCAATTCTAAAAACTAACATTTCCGACTTCTTTCAGAAGAAAAGTTAAAAACATCCCTGAACCTAAGCCCACACATGAATGAAATAATTCCTCCACTAAGCTGGATCACTTTATTTTGGATCTTGCTGAACTAGGGTTGATAAAATTAAAAGTATTAAAGCAAAATCATATTTTTACACTATATCTAACCAAGAAAGCTAATCAGCGCCTATTTTTCTTATGCAGATAATTAGAGTTCAGAGTTAGTTAGGATATTTCATACTTATTTTTTTTTTTTTACTTTATAATTGTATTGTTTGGTTTGCCAGTCTATTAGAAATAAACAAGGCTAAGTTATGAAAGAAGATTATGAAAAGGGCATGTAAAGTTATGGGTTGCAATATTAGACATATCGACATAGACATCCATGTTGACTACCTATTTAAGAAATTCACTCATTATCAGTGGCGGACTGTCAAGGCAAGCAAGGTATGCAGGGCATACCCTGGCTAAAACAAATAAGAAAATATAGTAGTACAGTTTCTGCATTTGATTTAGCATTTCTTAGCCATAATCTTCTATCTAAACATTAATTTTTCGAGTGGATTGCTGTAGTTTACTTGAAAAGCGAAGTTTTTCAATGTTTGGACTACTTTGATATCTAGTATAAGTCACATTCGGGCCTATTGCAACGTACTTTCAGCTGCTTAGAATTTCCAAATGGCTGGTTTTCAATATCATTCACTCACATATTCAGTGAGTCAATGGAAGTCAGACCATACCCTACAACGCTTAAATTTGCTATTGTGACAACCGTGTGGTGGCGTCAGAATAGCCAATTTAACACTGGAATGGAAGCAGTGCTTCCAATAGTATGTGCGCATGCTCTTCTTCTCGCAAATCAGGACCAGGGAAGGGAAAGTGGGAATCAGTGATTAGGTGAGGGGGCCAACTCGCAAAATAATGTGATTTGAGGTGATTTTTAACTACATGAGCTTAATTTGTGGGCGGTGGATGGGCGAGTACTTTATCAGGTAGAGGGGCGTGTGCAACCCTCGCACATCCTAGATATGTCAATACATGGCATAATCTGCAATTTACCCTATGGTCCGCCACTGCTTAAAATTATTAATGACACCAAACACCTTTTAAATCAGTTTATCACTTATCAGAAGTCAGGTAGAATTCAACCCATTGGGGGGGGGGGGGCGCACAAATAGACACAGAAATTCATTCATAATCAATGCTATCCATGAATTTAATGAGAGATTTGCCAGATAACTGCCGTAGTAAGGTAGTAGATAGGTACATTTATATTCATATTGTATCTGTTTGTTGTTTTTAATGTTTTTCATATTTTTATATTTAATTGCCTTTTACTGTCTTTCCATGTCTTTATTGTATGCAGTAAACAGGGAGAATTTCATTTGTCACATGTTTGGTTAATGATAATAAAGGAATCTTGAATCTATTTATATTAAAATTTGAGCTAGAAATAATTATGGTTATTTTTTTTTTTTTTTTTAAAGAATAAAGTCGATTTCGATTCTCGTACAGAAAACATGAAAACTAAACTACATATAAAAAAAGGAATTCTATGAAAAAATCACATACACTGATCAAAATATTTGAACATAATAACTAAATAATATAATATAAAATAAATATCTCAAACAAAGGTAATAGGATTATTAACATCAATACGTGCTATTGGACAAAAAATGTCAAAAGATAAAGAATTAGGTTTTGCTATAATTCAATTTTTAAAACTTTAAAAATTTATTCTTGTAATTGTGATGAATACACTCACATACACAAAACATTACAACATAAATATGAATATATATAATTAATAAACAATATAGAATGTGAATTAAAGTGCTTTTGATGGATACTATTACTACTACATACAAAAAGTATAATTAGAAATGTGCATGTGTTAAGTGCAACAATGATTACCTAAGAAACTCAAATTGTTAAATGTTTTTGGCACGTACCATTTCTAGAAAAGGGTGACCAAAGTTTTTTAGGCTTGGTGACTGTAGCATATAAATTTTCTGGAAAAGAAAATGATGGCGTGCAAGCATGTAATGTAAAAGGCATTTGTAGCAAGCATAAAACTTTCGCTATTATTAATCAACGTTAAAGCATTATCTATAATATATATATAATTATTTTTCAATTAGCATTTTTAGCAAGTAAATACTCTTGTGAACTTCACAAAGAATAAAGTTCTGTTCACACACTGCCAAATTATATGACAAATACTTGCGATTGCCCATATATGGGCATGTGACATCATCATGCCCATTATGCAAATCACATATATTTGTCATATAAAAATTGATAGCGCATATGTTTACATCATCATGTTGGATGAAATAGCATAGGTAGCCATGATTACCACGGCCCATGATTATTAGTTTAATTATACAAAATACTGAAAAGGGCACAGTTCAAAATATTAAGAATATAAATAAGACATTGAATTAAAGTGCTTTTGATGGATACTATTACTACTACATACAAAAAGTATAATTAGAAATGTGCATGTGTTAAGTGCAACAATGATTACCTAAGAAACTCAAATTGTTAAATGTTTTTGGCACGTACCATTTCTAGAAAAGGGTGACCAAAGTTTTTTAGGCTTGGTGACTGTAGCATATAAATTTTCTGGAAAAGAAAATGATGGCGTGCAAGCATGTAATGTAAAAGGCATTTGTAGCAAGCATAAAACTTTTGCTATTATTAATCAACGTTAAAGCATTATCTATAATATATATAAAATTATTTTTCAATTAGCATTTTTAGCAAGTAAATACTCTTGTGAACTTCACAAAGAATAAAGTTCTGTTCACACACTGCCAAATTATATGACAAATACTTGCGATTGCCCATATATGGGCATGTGACATCATCATGCCCATTATGCAAATCACATATATTTGTCATATAAAAATTGACAGCGCATATGTTAACATCATCATGTTGGATGAAATAGCATAGGTAGCCATGATTACCACGGCCCATGATTATGAGTTTAATTATACAAAATACTGAAAAGGGCACAGTTTAAAATATTAAGAATATAAATAAGATATTCATAAAGTTATTGTAAGAAAATAATAGTGGAAATGCCAAAGCATTTAATCCTGAAAAATAAATGCTTTAACACGTTGGCTGCCAATGACGAGTATACTCGCCCACAGGGTGTTGCTGAGGGCGCCAGGAACGAGTATACTCGTCGAAAACATTCTAGCGTTTATAACTTATTTATTATACAATGTAGGACCACAGACTCAACGGCTGGTAGTTTGGGGAAGATACACCTAGACAATAACGTACAAATGACATATGTACGTTTGTTGTGTTGCCGGTAGTACACTCGAGCGGTACAAGAGGGGGTGCCCTTTGAACATATACCAACCCACGCAAAAAGAGGACGAGATAACTCGCACTTGGCATAGTGAGTAAAAAGTTCTATCACAGTGCCATCGACGAGTATACTCGCCCCCTAATATTTTCCCGCCAATTTATTACACATCATTTTGATGATATATGACTAGATAAAATTTCAAAAAAGCATGTTTGTACATGTAAGCTTATTTTGGCACACGGGAAGGAACCGTAAAAAAAGGTCTGGCAGTCAACGTGTTAACCGTTGTTCACACTATCAAATCATGTGATGTTGATATAATATGAACATACCCTTAATATATGTGTGTGTAATATATGACTGACATTATTATGACGATAATCACACATATTAGTCATGTAAACTTCATAGGGGAGCATTTGCCTTTAAAATGGCTTTTTAAGATGTACAATCATATGCTAAGAATACTACAGTGAGCAATAAAATAATGCACTGCTTTTGGTGACATGGCATTAGCTGGCCCAGTGGCGCTCTTATGTGAGCGAGCAGCCATTGCGGAGGATGAAAAATACACAAGTACTCATGTCATTCTTGCCTACTTGGCTCTGTGGTATACATATTGTCTCTGTGGGTAGACACACACCTCCTTTTTAAAACTTATTATTAAAATAGTGTGGGTTGCCATGATAGTATTTAACATTTAAATGAGGTACTATAGATTTAAAGACTCAAGTCTCATTAAATTTGTGAACTTCCAATAATTTTTCAAAGGTTAAAAAAGTTCAATTTAAATTTACTCATATACATGAGAACATTGTTTTTCTATGACTTTTGCAAACTTTTAATGTGCTCTCCAGCCAAATGAATTAAGGTTTGAACTTCAATGTAATTGCCACGAAAATAAGAATCCATGTTGAAAATTAATTTACTTTTGAATATAGCATGAACAATGGGAATATTTAAGTAAGAGATTAATAATTATATGTTTTTTTAGAGTGCACTTTTTTTAAGCTGTCATATTATGAATGTTTGCAAAGGCCTTAAGCTTGGTGTGCCTTTTATGTTTGGTTCAAGTAATTAGCAACAAAATAAAACACTAATAATAATATGACAATAATATAATAAAAACTATCAAAAGTAATAATATAAAAATATGTAATAGTATTAACATAATAATAACCATCATCATTAAAGTAATAAAAAGTAAGTACAGTATATAAAATTCACTCGTTAATAAAAATTGTCACATTTCCATATATCCTTAATTCCCTGAAATTTAAAAAGTTAAAAAAAAATCAATGTATGTGGTACTAGGATTCTTCATTAGCACTAAGTCTACATAGGAAATTCTTCTTTTATTACAAACTAGCAGCTTGTAACAAACACATAAAAACATATATTCAATCATGAAAAAATAATTTTGACATTAAATTTAACATAAGAAACACAAACTATTTCTATGCCTACAGTGAACTTGGCAAACATTTTACTAGGTATATCAAATATAACAGCAATATAATATTCATTTAAAAGATAATTTGCCAATTTAAGCAATCATCAAAGGCACAGTTAAATATTTAAAAAAATAATTAAAAAGATTGTTGTGTAGGATAATTTTAAATAAAATGGAAGAGTTAGTGCCAAAAAGAACCGACAGAAAATGAGAAAGTGCAATTTTCCTAATTCCGTATGAAGTGTTGGGACAGCAAGCAATGTTTCTGTTTTTTTCTTAATTAAAACAAATTATTTACCTAAGATTAATTTGATAACTATTATGATTTTTAAAAGTTCAAGGGTAAAATCGACAAGTTTATGTTAACACTAATTAATATAATATGAGCTTAATCACTATCAATCTTTATTGGAATAAAAAAAAAAATATGAAAATGAAAAATAAAAATGAACACCTTCATTTTTTATTAGCATGGGTGTTCTTAGACTGTGCAATAAGTACGTTGACTAACATGTAAGCCTCAGATAAGTTTAATATTTGTTCTCCCTTTGCAACATTTAACTTAGAATAAGTGTTCATGCTAAGAATTCTTTCTGTTTTTGCTGTTGTTATTACCTTGGAACATGTATTAGGGGAACATATTCCTCTAATGCACATTGGCGAAATTAGTTGTACAATTCTGATAAAAATTATCCAATTCTACAGTAGCACATAAAACAACTAGACACATGATATGGCACACCTACAGTGAGTGTAGGTAAAATTCATTGCCACTTGCTAAAGTTCATTGCCACTTGCTAAAGTTCATTCATATATAATTGATTAATTTGTATTCACATATTTTGGCATGCGAAATACTTTTTTTTCCCAGCAATTACGTAAAATATTATGTGAAATATTGGGGTGTTTTTGTTTTTTTTTGCATATGAGGTGTCATTAAAAATAATCAGGTGCTGGTATTTTTCATTCTAAATTACAATCATTTAAACCATCTTAAATTTATTTTATGAAGTATAATGTATCAGTTATTATAGTAGTAAGTTTAAATTATTATTATTATTTAAATGACACAGGTGACATCCAAAATAACACTCTACTACGGGGAGTCATAACTTTTTAGAGTTTAGATTTGATATATTCAATATGCTCTTTAAATCCAGAGTATCTTTCATAGTATTATGTTCAAAGTCATTTCAAAAACAAGAGAGGGCAGTATTTAAGAAGGCTAAAATACCTGGCCAATCCTCCTGTTAGTGTTTTCTAAAGCTTTCATTTCAAAAACACAGGAGGGCAGTAACATTTTCTTTTTAATAACATGTTATAAAATAGGGGGAAAATAAAAACATAAATAGCTCCTTAAAAAGTTTTTAACGAAAAAAAATTAGATCAGTTTTTATATATTTCTAGACCTATTGCTGAAAAAATTGCTCAGATTGGTTGCAAGTCTATGAATATACAAATTGGCAAATACATTTTTTACAATTTTCTTTTAAATTTTTATTTAAAGCTAATAAGTTAAATATACAAAGTAAGTAACTTAAATACTGATTTTATTTTTTTTATGTCTTTTTAGCTTATATCACAGTTTTTAGCTTGTATTAAAGAAGGATTTGTAATTATTTTCTGCAACCTGATATTTACCATAATAGCTAATTTTGTGTTAAATTGTTGAATACCAGTTTGACACTTCAATCCTTTGAATCCACTAAAATTGTATTAAAGAAAAACAACTGTATTTTCTACAAAATTACAAACAGAAAAAAATCTGAACGATAATAATAAAAGCAATTAAGCAGCTCAAACTCAGGAGCAGGCTAGTTGTCTACTTAAAAATTAAAGATGATACTATCTGATACTGAAACGTTTAACCAGGAAAACTTGCTTCCTTGGCTAAATCCCTTTAATTTCTCATTTAATACTTTTGTCTCTGAATCGTGTGGTATGCAACAAAAAAGATACTTAGATTTTAGTAATCTGATAACATTAAAACAGCTGAATACTAAGTGTTTTGTTCAGAAAATCGGCCAGAAAGATGACTTTTAACAAACTTCATGCAGAAGTCAAAGTTAAGGTTCACAGTACAAATTAACAAACAACAGTAAGCAATATGTACAGGATGTGTTAATGTGTTAAATTATTGGTGAAAAAAGTATTTTGTTAATGTACACTCTATGCTACAAAATTAAAAGCCAAGGTTCTAGGCAAAAAAGTAAAATTCAACAAACAGAAATAGTATGCAGGAATCTGTACAATTTTAAAAGAAACAAGCAAATGTCTTTAAAGACAGACTATCATCAAACTGTTAAACACTCTATCACTTTTCTTTGAATAAATTCACTTAAAACATAAAACTGCTCATTTAAACCTACCTAAAGTCACCCCAAAAAATCATGGAAATCATGGAAAAAAAAGTAGTTTCTAGTCCTAATATTTGGAAACAAGGAGAATGAGGGCACTCTTTCTTTTTTTTACTCCACGGTGGCAAATCCAAGAAGGTGGATGGGAAACAGCTACTACTTTCTCACTTTTACTAAGTGGACACATTGAAAGCAAATAAAAGAAGCACTTGACATGATTTATACCATATTGTATCCCAAACCATAAATGATCGAGAGAGGATTTTACTAATGATAGCCAGATTTTCGTACATTTGGTAAAATAAAGGAAAAAAAAAAAATGGTGAGAAAATGGATGACTGAGGGGACTGGTATTTTTTTTAAATTTTTATTTGGCCTTAATTTAGGTGTGCACATTTAATGAAATGTTATTATATTTTTCAGTTAGATTTAGAGATTAATTAATGGCTAAATTGTTATTTAATATCCTGTTTTTTATAAACTCCAAAAAATCTGGGTTTGGTTGAGATGCTGGTTCTCAAGCATTTTAGCTACTAGCACAAAATTTGAATTGCCAAAAATTGCAAGGGACAATACCTATTTTATAGAGTGCACTGCATAGTTTAGCATGCACATGGACCATATTGCACACAGGTCCAAGGGGTTAAATGTGTAATCCGAAAGACTATTGAAACTTGCACTCCAGCCCTCTAGCTGAAACACAAGGTGAGTAGCGTATGGAACTGGCTTGGCACCTAGGCTATGTAAATCTCTCCGTAGATCATTGCACCCACAGGAGCTACCACCAGGCTGACTGAGCTAAGTTGCTCTCTCGCAGCTACTATAACTAGGCATTCTCTGAACTCCACAGATGATGACCTATCCATCAATGCTACAATGCACATCCAGCGTATCATATTTATATCAAATACACTTCAACCTCAACAATTCATCAAATCAAATTTGATAAAAAGAAATCAAGTGATAAACTAATACATGCAGGTGGGAAGGACAAAGAAGAACCAGCAACTACAAAAGTTAATTGAAACATCTAAATCTAAAAGAAATCAACAGAAATTACTATTACTACTAAGCAGGTAAAGAAGTTAATGCCACAGGAAATTTAAACATGGATTCTACCAGCTCTTTCTCTACAAAGCATTTTTATAGATAGGGTTTAATACCTGGGGTACTGGTTGGAATGCTTGACGGTTTATGTACGGTTGGAGATGAGTTTTCTATATCTGAAAATCGATCTGCTGGTAAGTAGGAAGAGAAATACATGCAAAAAATAAAAATTACAGTTTCAAGACAAAAATAATATTAAATTAAAATCATAATCATTCATTTAAAAGGGTGTTATTTTTAAGGTACTGAAAATAATTATAAATTACTAAAAGAAAATAAAAGTACTATTTATATATCATCATGCTAAGTTTACATTAATATTCTGATAATAAAAAGCAAAAGAAAAGAGAATGAAAGAAGAACAGAGTGGATTAACAGAGGATTTCAGAGGATTAAAGGAAGATTCAGACGAGGAAGGATCCAGCAGTATGGATACATAAAGCTTTCTCAAAATTTATCGGTAAAATTACATTATACAAGTACTACTACCTTTATTAGAAACAAAGAGGTTTGCGAAAGAGTTTGCATTAATTCAGTGGAGGCGCAAGCGGTAAGCTAGCAGGGCCTGGGCCAGCCGCCAGGGGACACTTGGCCCTGTTGGTGGGAAGTCGCATTAAAATATGTCAAGAAAAATCTTCAATGCAATTGGCACGAGAACCATTTTCAGGCATGTAGAATTGAAATAACCCAACATTAATTGGGCTGAGGCGGTAATTGCAATTGTCAGGGATTAATGACCCACCTGTCAGGGTAATGCAAACGCCACCACTGCATTCAATCATATAAAGTATTATTACAAAAAACACTGTCATATAATGTCAGATATCATTGTTATAATGGACATGCAAACAGGTAATTAAACATGTTATGTTAAACTTTTAATTTAACAACTTTAACTATAAATCTAGTTTCATTAGTACTGCTATATTTAATAAAATAATTATCAACATATAACAAACTATAGTCAAACATAACAAGTTGGTTTGGAACAAATATATTAAAGATTATAAATTACAAAAAATATTACATCAAACTTGGAAAATTCTACCAACATCACAAAGCCTAAGAAAAAAACATGAAGTTAGATTGAGGGGGTACTTTTATTAGTCCTGTCCAGACTATCAAATGTTATTTGAAAAAAAAAAGGGACATGCCTAAATATGGTCATGATGACATCATAATATGACCATATATAGGCACATCATGAATATATGGGCATAAAAAGTTTTTTTTGTCATTGAAAATTTGATAATCTAGACAGAGCATAAGATACAACAATTTTAAAGGGTATTATTCTAGATAGATGGTGATGAGTGCTCAAGTTGTGGGAGGTCACATTAGGGACAACTAGTTTGGTTAGCTTTGCGAACACATGACCTTTCATGCACACAGTGATACAGAAAGAGGATAATATACAGTATTAAAAACATGCCAATATTCAGATTTTATGGGAGGTGGGTTTGTTTTTTCACAGGGTTTTGGCTTACTTGCAGAGAAGGCGACCCCATCAGAAGCTTTATGCTAATTTTCAGGGGACTTCCAACCCTTGGTGAGACTTTATTTACAGAATATGCTAGTATTTATAAAGGGTACTATTTTCTATGGAGAGCAGTATAATTATAGATTGTGCTAGCAATTGTCAGGGATACGCTTCCTTGGTTTTGTATTGAAATAGCTTCTTCACAAGCTCCCATTCATGTCAACAGCCTGAGTTTCCAATCTTTCGATTGCCTATGGCATTACCACATAACCACTATAACTATGAAGGAAAGTCCTATAATAGTATATAAGACAGGCGCATAAGGTACTGAAATATATATGATCATTTTTAAAAAATAGGGGACAGGATTTAGGCAGATATCCAAGCATTCAGGTTCCATAATTTCACTGTCAGAAAACAGACGCCATGACTTAAATTACATCGTATTAAAAATTTCTTGAGTAAACACAGGCTAAGAAAGCAACAACAGTGGAACGAGGCAGGGGTAAAGCTAGGTTACGGATGTACCAAATAACAATGACTCAGTTAGTCGGATACATTATGCTTCCGAAACAGATGCAGAAAGTGGTAGCAAATGGTACAAAAGTATGGGACATTATACTTGCTTACTATGTTTACTACATTGAAATATATTATGATACAAATTATTATTAAGGTTTTTGTGTTTAGGTAAGGCTATTAATAATTTAATGAATTTGTAAACTGTTATCCAGTGTAAATTTCAACCAACTAAAAAAACAATGAAAGGAACATTTCTGAACGAACGAATAAAATAAATTACTTAACAACATTTATGTTAAATGACAATGATAAATGTTAGTATGTTAGTCCAACTAATAGATATCAATTACATTCTTCTGTAGAAATATTAAAATAGTACTGTATTAATCAAACCGATCGATGCCCATAGCTTTTCAAATTGTACTCATAATGTATTCCTATATAATTTTAAAATATATAAAAAATTTATTGTAAAATAATAGCATTTCTATTAAATCATAACTAATTTATTGAACGTAGAGGGGTAAATCTATGAAGACTTGTTCTGTTAAGTATGCTGAAGTGTTTTTACTAAAGAAAAGCAGAGCATTTCAAAGAAATGCTATGTTAAGTAATCAATAAATCATTTATTAATAAAATCTAAATCATACTTTTGAATTTTTAAAAACCTTGAAATCTTAAAAAAAACTAAATCTGTTATAAAAATATATTGTAGTTATGGTAAATATTAATCAAACATGGGAAATCACATAAACAAATTATAATTATGATAATGATCAAATATGTGTTAATTAGGAACTGACTTGCATTATTGACAATATGTGCCATATGTAAAAACAAGAAATTAAAAAATTGAATTAACTGATTTCCCAGTATAATTTGAATATAAAGTTATTATTGTCTTTGATATTTCAGAGTTATATGTTCAAAGACCAAATTTCTAAAATAAAAAAAAAAAAGAAAAAAAAGAAACAAGAATAATGAAAAATGGTAGAAAACTTGCATTTAGTATTAATGGATTTAAACTGATGAGGACAGAATGTTAATGAACAAGTTTGTATTAATTAAATGAAAAGCCAAAGAAACAAGAACAAATTGATAGGGAAGCAAAATCCCTATGGAAAAAGCCATGACAAATATGCATAAGAAGTTTAGGAATACCTTCCCACATCTTAAGTTTCGCCATAAACTCAGAATGGGACTTATTTGTATCATCCTCCTCAAGATCCTTCTCATGATTTTCATTTTCAACGGCATCCTGAGTGTTTATTTCTTGTTGTGTGCTCCTAGAATTCTCATCCGCTTCATGTGCAAATGTGAGTGACAAATACATGCAAACATCACAACAAATTGAGGGTGTATTATATTTTTATCATTAAATGTGCAAAATTGTAAAGTATTAGAGTCAAATTTCAAAAATTAATTGTTAAAAGCCATTTGGCACATCATCTTTGTGTCAGTTAATCCTCATTATGAATTTTACTTAGCTAATTAAAGATGTATTGTTCCATGAAAAATACCCAAAAAATCATTTTTGAAATTAACTTGCTCATTTTAAAGTAGCATTAAAATTATTAAATTGAACATAGAAATTAGTGTATTTAAAAATATTTACCTACAATATAGTTTTACAGTGTAAAAATGATAGAAACACTTTCAGTCACTGGAAGTGATTTTTTAATTTTTATCATTATACAGTATATTTAATAATTTCTATGCTCAGGTTAATAATTTCAAAATTATCTTTTATGATTTTTTGTCATTTTTAGGGGACATTACATATTTTATATTTATTAGGTTCAACATTTGGATCTATTATAACTACCATTAAATAATTCATCATTACAATTATCATCCTCATCACAATTATCACTACCACCATAATTTATAAATCTTAACGAGTATGTCTCATTAAAATACATCAAACTTGAAAATTAATAACTGTCATCAACGCTGAAAATAATAATAGCAACAGTTAAGCCAGGGCACACACTTCACCAACGGTTGCCAGCTGACGTGATTTAATAGCGACCGTAATACGAGGCGCGTGCAACAGATCGTCCATCAGAGGACAGCATCACGCTGTAAAGCACTCAGTGAGCCAAGTATAGATCTGTCGCCGCAAGACCCTTGTATAATGCGGCAACTGTTAGCCACCAACTAAAGTAATCAACACCCAAATTAACATAAAATTAGTTATTTATCTTGAAACATACAATAACTTATTAAGTATAAGGAAACAGTATTAAGGTATTACTGTATTATTATTTCATTACCATTTAATAACAGTGAACTTGCTCTATTACAGGATGGAATAATGTTTATTAAACTTAGTTACAAAGCTTGGGGAAAAGAGCTGTTTAAAGTTGTGTGATAAAATCCTGGTTTCTCAATATTTGAAATATTTCAGGGTAAGCATCGCAATCACCAACCTACAGCTCCACTATCTTTCCATAATATAACAGTTCCCTAAAAACCTTGAATAAAAAAAAAAACTGAACAAAAGAGATTAAAATTATGATATGAATACAAATTCGGAAACTTACTTGGTGGTGCATTCTTTCTTCCATCTTGCTGATAATTAATACTGTAAGATAAAATATTTTAAGTTAAAAAATGTTCGAATATTAATTAATACCCTGTTACATAATAGTGTGAGTACCCTATAAACTATAAAAACTTTCAATCATCAAAAGAAAACTGTAATTAAATTTTCAATATAAAAAATCCAATGTTTTTAAATTACTTTGAAAATTATGGTATTAATGAACTTTCAAATGAAAATTAAAATTCATCTAAAAAAAATATAGTCATCACATCCTCACAATATGACTATACATCACAATATGACTATATATAGGCAGACAACAGTATTCAAAAAAAAAAAACAACTGTCCTCACCAATTAATACAACGTAACTTTTCTATACACCTTTGAACAGACCCATTAATTGGCAGGTAGTCCATTAAGGACTTTGTTATGAAAAGTGTACATTAATAAACATTTTTTTTTTCAAAATTAGTGGGTCATTGGAAGTTGGCAACTTATTTAATCCTTTTAGATGAGGAACTCAACTTATTTAAATTATGTTTTTGAGGATTTTTTCATTTTTATAACACGGCATAAAGTTAGATAAAAACACTTTTTTAAAAAACTGTTCATTGCCACCATTCAAAGTCAAGGTTAGGGTGGTGATTGATGGTGTGGGCTACATATGACTGTGTAAGACACCTATATAATGATCACTTCCTGTAGTTTAGATCTGCTAAGGGCTCAAGGACAGTTTTCAAAGGTATGAACAAAATAGAAACAAACCATAGCTAAATAGACCTACAACACCCTCTCACTGACATCATATCCTAAGTTGTAAGTAATGGACGAGAAAAAATGGTGAACTTGGGACAGACTAATGGTTACAATGAGTAAGAGGAAATAATTTTACCCATTGTATTTGAAAAATGATAACACACACAAATCATAGGAATTTATAAAATGGCACAAAAATATTAAATTATAATCTACTGCAGAGATTAGTTTGAAATCCAAACGAAATAAATATATTTTTGTGAAGTGTATTTAAATTTTAGCCACGATTGAGGTCTTACTCCATACCTTTTAAATACATATACCGTTAATTGTGGGTGAACCAAGCTAAAGGAGGGATAATTTGCTGATACAGTTTTGAGAAAAGTGAAGATACATGAAAATGGCCAAAATTTTCGAAATTTGAAAAATGAAGGCTTTGACTATCATATTTTTGAGTAATATAACAACTCATTTTTCAATTTTTCAACTTATCCCTCTTAGCTTAGTTTGCCCACAATCCATTACCATCAATATCTCTATTATTGTAATTAGAAGTATGGATGATTATAGTCATTGAGACTGAATTTAAACCATTTCATATATTAAAAAAAAAACAACATGTATAAATTGATTGTGATAATCATAATACACGGCACAAACATTATAAATAATATAATAAATCAATTCAGCAAAAATGACGATAATGATAATGATGATGATTACGGAAGCATTGCATGGTGGTGATGACTACAGTATGATATACAACCATTTCAAAAATTCTAGGCCGAAAATACAACTAAACCGCGGATATATTTCACGCTATAAATTTTATTCCACCTGTCAGATGCAAATTATTCAGCGGCTTGATCTTTGACAAGTCGAATCAGTGTGCTATTTGCCGACCCATTCACAATTACGGCGTTCTATAGAAATAGATGCCGTGGAGACAGTCAGGAAGCACAATGTAAATACCACATAAAGGAGCCATTTCCATATCAAACTAAAAATAAACAAAAGTTCATGGCTAAGTGTGAACTCTAAATCTATCATCGACTTGACTTCTTTTTTTTTTTCAAATTAAATTAATTTCAGAAAATACATTTATGCATTTCAAGTGTTTTGGATGCAAATTGATAGGAAAGGTCTCATTTGTTATTTGTACTTTTTTTTTTCTTATGATGACAAGACAGATTTCACTCAAAACATCATGGAAACAAATACATATTTTTTTTTTTTTAAATCTCAGAACACTATTTCAAAATGTGGTGAGTTAGAAATTATATGATTAAGTACTATTTATTAATGTATTAATTGATTTTTACATATTTCTTTATGAAGCATAAATGTAAAATTACAAAAGAATAATAATATTAATATGAACTATAATACATCAAATGGTTTAGCCAACTCCCACCTTCCCATCCAAAGGATATCTAAATTTTTTCCCCCTAAATTTTCTATATCTTTCACTTTCTATCGCATTAAACAGCGATTATACTGGCCAATTAGATGACAAATCTATGCTTTATAAAGTGCTGTTTTTGCACCTTTTGTGTTTTGAAATTAAAAACGAATGTACTATCGTTATTATAGTGGGTTTTTTTTAGAGGATTTGTTTTCAGGGCAATGGGGCTGGAAGGCATTTTAACAACCAAGCTACAGTGCCAACCATTTCTTAGCAATTCTAAACCGTCTCAAACTTGACAAACATTGCAAAACTAAAACTTACTGAAGATTCTACTTCAAACGTATTGTTCCCATGTGGAACCAATTTTTTCATCCTAAATGTTCAAACCCCACAATATCTGATTTTGAGCGAGCCTTGCACACATTCTACGAGCTTCAGTTTGTCAACGAGTTTGACCCAGCCAATGCATGCAC